TTTCTTTTTCTTTTATGACCTACGCTCTGGATATACAACACGGTATAACTGGCGCTCTACTACTCGTATTGTTTCCATTTATGGCTTTAATAGTGTGCTGCGTCGTGTTGCGCAGCGTGATAACGTTATTGTTCGTCGTTGTTATCAAATGTATACAAGAAGTCGTGAGCACGACTACAATGACAAAACAGTTGGAAGGAAGGGAAGATGGATCCTCGTTTATTATCTCAAATATCGAGTCGTGTATTCGAATTATGTTCTTTTTGTCCCGCTTTTGGAAATTTTATGCTATGAGATGGTTGTTGACAAACTGTGTTAAAAAGTGAAAGTACCGCAAGAGTCCCATCTTCCCTTCCCTGTCAGAAGAACAGAGTTTATCCTCGTTTAATAATGACAAATTAGTAACACTTTCAACAGGGAAAAGAGAGTCGTATTATAGCCGTTGTACAAAACCCGATATAATACTCGACAATTGTTCACGTTTAAAAATGTTTCCTTGTTTTTCCAGGAAAATTTTCCTGGAAGCGAATGCTGTCGACAAATATAATATTTCGTGATCACTGAAATGATAGAAACTGGTTGGTAAAAATTGCTAAATTAGTTCCAGCAGTTCGATACTTTTTCGTCTCGAACTCGTGTTGTTGAACTGTATCCAAACACGTTAAGAGATACCACACGTGTTTTGTCGTGTTTTCTTCTCCTTTTTTTTTTCTTTTTTCCTACGGCGAAAAAAGAAAGGTTCCACGATCAAATATGGATACACAGTATCCTGAACCGATGGTGGACGGAGAAGACAAAAGGCAAATATATCTAGGAGAAGAGGTAGGAGTCTTTTCTTCTTCTTCTTCTTCTTCTTTCTACTCGTCGACCAGTTCCCAAAGCATGAGAGCGGCGTCGGTTCCACCGACGGTGACCACGTTCTGATCGTTGTAAAGAAATCTGGCGCAGGCCACCAGAGAGCTGTACACCTTCTCCTCGATGTACTCGGCCTTGGCGCTTGTGCACGGATACCTGAAAAGCCTCAGGTAGCCTTCCGCGTCGCCGCTGACCAACATGTCGTGCGCTGCTGATCGACTGGACGTCGTTAAAACGGTCGTTAACGGGTAATAACGATTGTTCCACATACCTGCATTGAACAATAAGAATTATTTCTCTCTCTCTCTCTCTCTCTCTAAAATTTTATAACGGTTTTATATTCTTCTTTTTACGTAGCGCATCTCCTCGTTCACTTACCGGACACCATGTATCCGACCATGCAATTGTGGGTATACCACTTCACGTCTTTCATCACCAGCGGACTCTTCTCGGACGACAACGCTTTCACGTCCCCTAGAAATTTGTGAAATTTATTGATTTTGATCGATTCGTTCGTTGAATAAAGAAGAAAAATGAAAGCGACGATTACAGAATACTAAATCGTAGTCCTGGGTAACCGTTTGAAGGAATCTGCTGTCTGAACTCCAGTCGAGCTGGACCAACGGTTGCGTCCCACGGATCTTGTTGCTCTTTTTGTACGAGAATCCGTCTCTCGACACTCTGAACAGGTACACGCTACCGTTCTGCGAGCCCATCGCCACGATCTCCCCCGCTGTTTGAACAAAAGTGAGGTTATGTGACTTATGACGATGAGAGAGAGAGAGAGGAAAAAGAATCATGATTCTTTTTATATCGTACTTGGATTGTAGCCGATGCACGACAAAGGCGAGCCGCACACTCTGAGGGTTGCCACAGCAGCCCCTGTATCCGCAGCGAGCACCAAAAGATGACCCTCGGAGGAGCCCGCGGCAAGAGCCACCCCGAAAGGATGGAAAGCTATGCATATACACTCGAAACCCACCTAAGAATAAAAACAAAAAGAAGAGAATAAGAACAAGAAGAAACGAAGAAGAAGAAAAAGAAGAAATATACCTGCGTCGTCCACAAAAGCTTGTGCCTGCGCCAGAGGGCGATATTCTTGTCGTGGCCCGCCGTGGCGAACACCTCGTCGTCAGGGTGCACGGCAAGGCCCCACAACTGCCTCCCGTGCCCGAACACCACTTGATTGAACCTTCTCTGAAGAGATCCTTCCAAAATGTTGTTCCTCGTCGTTCCCACGTATATATTCCCGTCGTTCCTCCCGGGCCTCTGTGGATAGATGCTGCGCACCCCACCGACCGCTTCCGGCAACTGTCACAATCCACGAAATTTACAATCCATCCATCCACACACACACACACACACACACACACACACACACACACACACACACACACACACACACACACACACACACACACACACACACACACACA